AGGAGAGATGGAGGGAATTTTCTGGAGAGATGTCCCTGAGCACTCAAGATGGGACACAGTGGAATTCAATGTACACAAATAGAAGTCTCGGCCTTTCATAGGGGCATAGATAGTTCATTTGTAGCAGATAAGTAAAACTAAGGAAGTCTGGGCTGACATGCAGTTGGTAGGAGTAGCTCACAGTCATCAAGAAGACCAAAAACATGTGGACCTTGATGAAAAAGAACGAGATGTAGATTACTCATCCTGGAGAGTGGGGGAAATTTAAATACACTAGGAAATGCAGTAATACTGTCTGGAAGCTCGAGAGGCCAACCTGACTTTATTATCTTGAATTGAGATCTTTAAGTGTGGGGTTTTGTTCTTCTCCTGCTACTACCTTGATAGTTGGATTTAAGTTAGCCTGCAAAAAGGGTAAGCAGCAGTCACCGAAAATGTGAAGAGGAGAATTAAAGTGTCTACACAATAAATAGTCACTACTATGTATTTTTTTCCCTATTATTTAAACTGACAGAATAATTGTAAGTCATACATTCTTCTGTGATTGGTCGAAGTATTTCATATTTTTAAACACCAACCCTGAAAATATAAATTTTATGACCCATCTTCATTTTGTGCCAAAATGCTAGAATGTGAAATGGAAGGACTCACAAGATATCATAAAGTCTTACTTTGGTCTTCAGGTGAGCAAATATCTACTGTTATCTACTCTTCTGGATGATTTCTATTGTTGAAGCTTACCTGAACTTAACTTTTCTTCAGCATCCTTATTAGTGTATCTTTTAGTTCTACTTCATTAAGAAACCTGGTTTTTATCAGAAATCTCTTGCATTAAACAAACTGATTTGGTATAGTTAGCATCTACTTTTAAGCAGCTTAAAGTAATATCAAAATAGTCAGTGTATTGTATATGGAAGTCTATTTAAGTTTTTGTAAATAAAATACTTAAGACATGTTGTAAAAAAAAAAAAAAAAAAGGGTAAGCAGCAGCATAGGTGCAGGGGCATTGAAGGAAGGGGTAGTTACAATCCAGGACTCTATTCTGGAGACGGAAAACTTTGGGAATTGAGAGGGTGCAGGAAGGTACAATGGTATTAGGATTAGTAGACTGTAGAACTTGGAAGAGGTTATGGAAAGAGGTAGAATAATCAGATGGACAGAAATATAAGTTATTGACTTTAAACATAGGAAGGAAATGTAGTTTTTGTTTGTTTGTTTTGTTTTTTTCCCTAAGCAGAGCTCTGTACTTATAACATAATTCAGTCTCCCGAACTTGAAGGTTTAACTAAGTCCTGTAAATGAAACACCATTTTCTTATGTATTTATGTTACGTATCTATTTTCTAGAGTTCGGGAGACCAGAACTTGGATAGAAGAGTGTGGAAACTATAGATGTCAGAGAGAGGGTGTAGACAGCTCAGAGGGTATCAAGTAGGAGAGATAAAAACATCTCTAAGAGGAGAGACCTCATTAATTGACAGTTGCTCTCACACCATGAGCCTGATGGAATCCACAGTCTGAGGCTGGGTGGGCACATTGAATTAGAATGGAAACGCAGTGTGGAATTTGCAGACCCTCTCCAGGGCTTAACCCCGGCTCCAACCCGCATTCAGGTCCTTCCTGCAGTGTGTGTACAGAGCAGGCAGGCAGCTTGGATGCTGCTGGTGCCCTCTCTGAGGGCTAGCCTGTACTCACTTGGCCTTCATACTGGTCTTGCACACTGTTGACTTCTCTCTTATCTGCATGGAAAGACCCTCTTCCCTTCCTTTCAGTGACATCCCACGTTTCCGTTTTGCCTCTTTCATTTCCTTTCCTTTCCTTTCCAGGTTCCACTACCTCTGTTTTCTTTTAAATAGTGTGTTTTTCAGATTTCCTTTTTTAAATTTTATTTTTTCTTAATATTTCTAAAATTTGCCTTAGAGAAAAAGGGAAAAGGGGGTGGGAGGGAATGAGACAGCAAGCTGCGAGGTCCGAGACTCAAATTGTGGTCCGCCATGTGGTAATCCAGCACCCGAACCACCATGTCACCTGCCGGCCCCCCAGGATTATATTTTCAACACTCTTATTTTTTATTTTACATACTGCCATGGCAAATGTATCTCATAGTTTCAATAACCATCTATTTCGTTAACATTTAGTAATCTCTCCTGAGAATCCGTATGCCTCTTCTGTTTGCAGAATCTTAGAATGAACATGAATGCCTTAGAGGCGCTTCAGGCTCTCCATCTGTCCAAAACTGAATTCATGGGCTTTCATTTCAAGCACATGCCTCTTCCTGCACTCCTATCCATTCTCTGGTGGCACAGGATATGCTGTTTATTACTTTCCTCCTCTTGCCTCCAACCTAACTAATCCATAATCTATTTTCTTTAAGTTTATTCAGTTCCTCCGTGAGAGAAGGAAAGAGAGGCATCCCCAGCTGGGTGTTCCTGCCACAGTGCAGCCCCAGCCTCAGCAGACCTAGGTCACTGGCATGTGTACAGGCACCAGCAGGCTCAGGGAATTCTGGGACATGAACCAAGACCTGTGTCATGTGGGTTCAATTGCATTACCACTGCGTCACCACCTGGCACCTGTTTTATTGATTTTATTCTCATATAGATAATCCCTCTATTCCTGACTATAGCTTTAGGCTCTTGAGTAGTTGCTCTTTTCGTCTTGTTCCAATGTGGCACTGAAGCCCGAGTGATCTCTCTGAACTAAAACTTAAGTTGCTCTTCCTTCCATTCATACTCTTGTAGTTTAGCCTGGCATCGAAGGCCTTTCCGCATTGGCCCCTCATTTATTTATCTAGCCTTTCCTCACCTCTCACCTCTCCCCTTACTCACTAGGCTTCTATCATCCACCAAGCAGGCCGTGCTGCCTCTCCTTTCCAGGTTTGTATGTATTTTCTTCCTTTGTCTAGAATATTTTTCTTGGCCTACTCAGGGCTCTACTCATAGGTTTCAAGACTATGTTTAGACAGAAATTTTTCTGCAAAGCATTCTCTGATGGGCCTTAAGGATACCTCACGCATAGTAAAGAGTGCATAGGTCACTGGATTTACTCTGTATCACACTGGATTAAAATCGCAAGCATCCTTACCTGTCATCGCCACAAGATTATAACTCCTTGAAGACTGGGGTAGTAATGTCTTATTTACCTCCATGTCCCCATTATTTGGCGCCTACTAAACTCAGTACAAGCTTCTTGAATGAATGCATGATAAGCGAATTGCCTAGTTTCTAGCAGCAACTTCGGGTTGTGATTAACTGACGAAAAGGGATCACTACTGCAGCAGATGAAGCAGATTATGTAACAAATGAAGCCCTGGTGTACTGCACATGGCGAACGAGCATTCGGCGCCGCTCTATTCATGTGGAATGACACAAGCCGATTTCTGTACCACTTGGACAGTATGTGTATATATATATATATATATATATATAGTTTGTTAAATATGTATGTTTATTAAAATATATAAAATATGTTTGTTAAAAAATATTTATTTATTTACTGATTTACCACCACGATGGTGATCTTGGTTTTTTCAAACCTCATTGTGGTCTTCTAGTTTTCCACTGATTGTCCTTCTATCTTGATCTGGCTTTAAGAACTGTAATCTACATTCTCATTCATTATTTTAATTTTTAACACTAGCCCGAGATAGTTTTTTTTTTCTTTTTTCTTTGTATAAATGAGCAAGTCAGGCTGTTAAAACACAAAGCAACAAACTGCACTGAGAAATGAATAGGTTCAGAAACTACAACTACAATCTACCTTAAAGGAAAACTCATTCTTTTTTCATTACTTTACACCTCTAGGTGCCAAAACCTGCATTTAATTCCAGGCTTTAAAGGAGATTTTATGTCTACCCATAATCTGCTCTCATATCGTTTGCCCAGGAGAGGTTAGCTATCTTCAGTTAAAATTGATCCACCTTCACCAGACTTGTAGTTGAAAAGCAAAGACTAAAGGACATGAATCTTTTAACAACCCCTGATGGGCTTGGACTTCACATATCATGCTCATTTTAAGTGTAGAAACAGCTAAAAATACACTCTTTTGAGTTTCAGAAAAACTGTATTTACAATTTCACAGAACAGATAATGTTAAACTAAATTTGATGCTTAACACCTAAAGTGTCATTTTCAAATCACAGAAATACATCTTGTATTCCAAAATATCTCCATGAGGCAGTATGACTCTTAAGTAATTTTAAGAAAGCTTACTTACAAAGATTCATCTTTTATATCTGACTAACGGTGATTAAGTTCAAACATTGGATAGCTGAGCAAAAATTCCTGATTCCTTTTTGTGTGTGTGTGACATGTTTGCGAGAGGGACCATGTGCTAGCCTGAGAGACAGAGACAGAGTGACAGAAAGTGAAAAATCACCCCTCAGGGGAGGATGACCATGCCACAATCCCTTCTCCTCCATTTTCCTCTCAAGGTTTTGGACACATATGCAACATATACCTGGTGTGAGTTTTAAGCCACCAGGTCTGGGACTCGAACTGTGGTCACCTACGTGTGAGTCCAGCAGCGTAACCATTATGCTATCTGCCAGTCTCCAAGTTCTTGATTCTTAAAAGATTTTCTAAGATCAGCAAATTATCTAGTTCCATTGATATTATCATAAAAAAATTCCAATTTCTAATTGTTCTTTAGAATTCATTATTTAAGTGCTTTGTATTTTTAAAAAACATACATATATGTATGCACACACATACCACACATACACACACACACACACACACACACACACACACACTTCTCTGTGGACATAAATGAGAGTTTGTATAATCTATTTCAGAAACTACATGCATGTTTTCTAGCCAAACACCATGGGAATTAAAGTGAAACATAGACATTTCTCAATAATCAATAAAAGTGGGAATTTCATAATAGTATCTCCACTTGATAATATTAAGCTATGTAAATCCCCTAACAAAATCTACACAGTAAGTTCCGTTCAATATGTTTTACGTTCCTTGGCAAACTTGACTGCTTTTCAAGAACATGACGTATGACTTACAGCCTTGTAGAAATTTATGTGCTGCCTTAGACACATTTCCTGCTATGTGATAAAGATCCAATGTGTATTTATAGAATGAAAGTTAGAATGTGAGCTGTTTTTTTCTTTCCTTTCTATATTTTTTTAGTAACGAAGCAAATTGATCTAATGTATATGAATGACAATTATAGTATTAAGGCAAACTAAAATTTAATTATAAAAAATGTTCCTCCTTCTTTCCCTCTCTTCCTCTTTCATTCTTTCCTTCTATCCCTCTTTTCTTCCCTTCCTTTCCCTTTTCTTTTCTTTTTTTTTTTCATTTTTTAATTTGTTACAGAAGTCCAACATTATAAACAATAGAATTTTGGAAAACATTTATAAAAAGTAACATTTTTTTTTTTCCATTCTCCATACAGTTTAAATTTGTTTGCAGCTCCGGGGAAGGTTTTTCACAAACTTTGCCAAAGAAATAACTTTTGTGTGTGTGTATGTATATATATATATATATATATATATGCGTGTGTGCCCAAGATCCCGAGAGGAGAATGGAGTAGAAGGGATTGCAGCATGGCCATCCCCCCTGGGGATTGATTTCTCGCTTTCTGTCTCTGTTTCTCTCTGTCTGGCGAATACATGTGCCCCATAGCAAAAACTTCTCAAAAAAAAAAAAAATTCATCTCCTCAGAATTAACCTTTAATTATTATTATTATTATTATTGTTTTACAGACTATTCCACAGCCCATCCTGGTCTCCCTACTTCCTATGCTGCTTTGCTAAGAATTAAGAAGAGTTCAGCCTCATCTGTCTTTGGTGCGAAGAGCAGACCACGGTACAGCAATCCTTCCTTAGGAACGCTGAGTGTTTCTTCACCTGGCTGGCGAGGGGCCGCTCAGCACTATTATTCCCCTGTCAATCTTTATCATTCCTCAGATGCCTTCAAACAAGATGGTAAGCATTAAAGAAAAATCGCATGTGATGGAGTTAAACAGGAAAGGAAAGATAATTGCAGTGGTTGAGACTATTGCCAGTTGGGAAAGAGACTAAACGCAACTTGGCTGAAAGAAGAGCAGAAAGGTTTTTAAGAACTGGAGTGAGGGCGAATTGGCCAAAAGAATTCTGACATCACCTCATGTTTAAGATGTTTGATAATCACAAAATGTAATGGTGAAGTAATCTAGCAAATTGGACCAAAGTAAGGACACACATATTTTTCAAATCAACAATTATGAACTAAGTAACTTAGGGCAAGTTTCGTATATATTACAATAGAATATGTGTGCCAGTGTGTTCACAGCAGTGGTTTTCATAATAGCTTAATAAGAGAGGCAATCCAAATGTCTACCGGAAATACAATGAATAAATTGTTGAATAACTGTGCAACAAAGTATAATTAAGCAATGAAAAGAATTAGTTTATACTTTTATTTTTTTGAGAGGTTTTTGCTATAGGGCAGGTGCGTTCGCCAGAAAGACAGAGAGAGACAGAGAGATAGAAAGTGAGAAATTACCCCCCCCAGGGGGATGGCCATGCTGAAATCTCTTCTCTTCCATTCTCCTCTTGGGATCTTGGGCACGCACACATATGCAACCAATGTGAGTTTAAGCCACTGGGTCTGGGACTCGAATCACAGTTGACTTCATGGGAGTCCAGCGACATAGCCATTACGCTAACTGCTGGTCCCAAGGATTAGTTTATCCTTACAGTAGTTGGTGCTATACACAGTAATGAGTGAATTTCATGAAGGTAATATTGTGACAAAGAAGCAAACCACAAAGGCAACATATAGTATCTTTTCATTTATACAAAATTCAAAAACAAACACAATGCTATAGTATTAAATGGATACATCCTTGTTCAAATTTAAGAACAAAGCACAATTGTCAGAACAATAGTTATCACAAGTCAGGATGATAGTTAACCTTGAAGAAAAGAAGGGAGATGCAATTGGAAAGTGGCACACAAAAGAATCAAGAAATCTTTGCATTTTTCTCTTTCTAAACTTGGGTGGTTATTATTTATAAATATTGTTATGTATATATATATATATGTTCATCTGTATATATTTAAAATCTTTTTTTTCAAATATATTTTGAAAGGTATTTAAAAAAAAAACATAAAAAAGGATAAGATCACATGGTGGCACACGCATGAAAAACCATGCTCTTTAAGAATTCCAAATGAGAAGTTTTTGGTTCAAGTTTTAAGACCTCTGTAATTATGCTGGGCTTATATTTGCCCATGATTCAGGGCTAGCTAAAGTCTGGGTATGGATTCTGGCATAAGAATCCTATTGGAAGTTCTTTCTCTCATCTCTGTCATTCATGGAAGAGATAAACTTTAAAAAACAAAAACAAAAACAGAAACAAAAAAAAAAACAACTATGATGGAAAATGGAAGGATGTTATTACAAATATTGGAGGTCATCTGTGTTTATTTATTGGTGCTTATCCATCTAGGAGATAGGGATACTTTCTCCATGTCTCCATGAGTATATTCGTAATGATTAACTTTCAGGTCCTGAGACAGACATGGCTGGATTATAAAAACGGCAAGAGACTTGAAGATGACTTATTTCTCAAAGGGGTAGAGAATGACTTTACAGTTGATATTTCTAAAGTAAATGCTCTAAGAAAGGGGAGTCAATGAACTATGGTCAGAAACCTTTCTAATGTTTATCAAGCTAAAGAGAATATTAAAGATAGTCTTGGTAATAAATTAGTCTTCTGTTCTAAATATCTCTCAAAAATTTTTATGCATTTAATTATTGTAGTCCCATCTTGTTTCAAGTAGAAGTTAAGTTAGCTCACAAATATATAAAAATATGGCTAGAAAAATTAAAATGCATGAAAATGATGAAATAATTAACTTTTGTACAAATAGAAAACTAATTCAAAGTGTTTACTGTAAATGCCTATAGACATACTGCGGGCTAGTCCTATGTTGAGTAATTAGCAGCCATGGAAAAAGAATGTCTGGTCAGTTACATATTTTGCAGTGTTTCAAACATTAAGATGGAATAGTTTTCAGTAGACACATGACTATGTCTGACAGCAGGATCAAATAATTTAATTATTTTTGGAGAGTCTTCGCTAAGAGTTTATTATTTTAGGGGCCAGCAGGTGGTATGGTGTACAATGTAAGGTACTAAACTCTTACATTGCTGACCATGGTTTGATTCCTTGACCTGGCGGCTTGCTTTCTCTCTCTCTCTCTCTCTATGGTGAGCACATGTGCCCTGTAGCAAATTCAAAAAATAATAATGATAAGCAAAATTAAATGAAAATAATAATTTTTAAAAGACTTTTATTTAATATAATAGCCAGTGACCAGAGCATTATTTCTACTATAAACATAAAAATGAATTTTATCTATTGCAATGAAGGCAGACCAAATTCAAAAAGCAACCACAAATTGAGAACTAGTTCTCTAAAACTGTACCCCATAATCTCTACATGCAAATCACTTGCGAATCTTGTTAAAATAGAAATCCCTTTTCAAAATCAGGAGGGGCATAGTTAATCTCATTTATTAAAAAAAAAAAAAAAGGAAGCAAGAAACTCCCAGCTGATATTGATGCTGCTGGCCTGTAGATTGTACTCTGAGTAGCAAGAAGGTTCTAGCTGGGAGCCAATTTAATATGCTTTAAGTCCCTCTGTCCTTCTAGTTTACCCATATTTTAGAGTATCAGGAAGAATGGATAGTCTGAGTATTTTCCAAGTAATCGCTATAACTATTGTTTTCTCATCTGAGCATTTGTTAGATCTTGGTGAAATGTGACTTTGAGTTTGTTCCCTCTGACAAGAGTTTGACATATGGCTTTTGTCAGGTAATTCCCTTTAGCCTTAATAGAGAGTAAAGCTGAGGTTGACATGCTCTTGTGAAAAATGAGAAAACTAACAGAGCCTGAATAGAAAGTCATCCCACTTCCCTTTTCAAAATCAGGAGGGGCATAGTTAATCCATTTATTAAAAAAAAAAAAAAAGGAAGCAAGAAACTCCCAGCTGATATTGATGCTGCTGGCCTGTAGATTGTACTCTGAGTAGCAAGAAGGTTCTAGCTGGGAGCCAATTTAATATGCTTTAAGTCCCTCTGTCCTTCTAGTTTACCCATATTTTAGAGTATCAGGAAGAATGGATAGTCTGAGTATTTTCCAAGTAATCGCTATAACTATTGTTTTCTCATCTGAGCATTTGTTAGATCTTGGTGAAATGTGACTTTGAGTTTGTTCCCTCTGACAAGAGTTTGACATATGGCTTTTGTCAGGTAATTCCCTTTAGCCTTAATAGAGAGTAAAGCTGAGGTTGACATGCTCTTGTGAAAAATGAGAAAACTAACAGAGCCTGAATAGAAAGTCATCCCACTCCTGCTCAGAGTTAAGCCAAGAAGTACCCCAGATGGAGCAAACATTTTTCTGATAAATGTGAAAACTCAGTTTCCAGAGCAGCTGAGAAAACCTTGCCACTTCTGGATAGACAACCTGGAGAAACTACCCCTCCCCCCCACACACACACATACATATTTACAAGGAAATAGAAAGTATATTCACTATAGCGTGTGATAAATGGCAAAAATTGGAAACAATGCAGAAGGGGATCAGAAGGGGACTGAATATATAAACAGAGCTTTTTACTTTATTGAAAACTAAAACCAAATGAATAGAATAGTGTTTCATTCTTTATGAAACAAAAATCAAATATACCTGAGAATATAGTGGTAACTGAACAAGGTAAGTTCTATAATATTACATATAATATGATATCATTTGTATTAAACAATTACCAATAGTATATACTATGTCTGAATACATATACAATGCAATTTTAAAACATGAACTTGAGACATCAAGCTGACTACAGTGTTTACCTCTGAGGACAAAGGGAGAACAAGAGCAGGAGAGTAGTACCAGGAAAGGGGAGATGAAATCAATTTAGTGATACCTTATTTCTTTAAAATGTACATGAAATAAATTTGATGGTATCTGTACTACACATACCCTAAAACGGCTTACAGGGACTCCTACTTCTGGTATTTACAGCATACTTCCTCCCTCTCCTATGGGCCAATGCTATTAACTTGCTTCTGGAGAATAGATTATATATTATGGCAAACATAATGGAGTATGACTTTCAGCACTGGGTTACTTTCAAGAAACTGGCTTGTCTTTCTCTCTGGCTTGTTCATGATGATGGAAATCAGCTCATGCTGGGAAATGCCCTGTTGAGAGGCCCATTGAGAATGGCCTCTAGACAACAGCTCAAGCGTAATTGAGGCACTCAGTTCAACAGCCCTTAGGAACTGAGTCCTGTGAGTTCACAGGTGAACCCTTGCAATGAGGCAGAACCAGAAAACCAGTTAAGCCACATCTATCCTGACCCACAGAGGCTGTGAGGTAATAGACACAGAGCCTTTGTTTATCTTGTGGATATCACATCTCTTGTCCTCCTGCTGTATTTGCTACAGAGGATTCTTCCCACAGTCTCATCATTTTAAAGTTTCCTAAGTTTCATCTATTTTAATTTTGTGTCATCTTGTAATCATCTCAACAGGATGGTATTCTTTTCTAGGCAGCCAGTTCCTATATTCAGCTAAGATTTGTTTATTCAGGTCCTGATTATGCATTCTTCTTCGTCCTCCTTTATATTCTCTACCAAGCCCACTTTTTAGTTTTGTGTGTTACAGTAACAGATGCTGAAGAAAGACACTAAAATACAGGCAAATGCTGCAAGTAGAATGATCTATTCCAATCCTCCTACTGTTGTATTAGTTAATAGTTAATATTAAATATGTTATATTGGTTAATTTGGTTAGAAATTACAAAATAAAACAGAAGGAAAATAATAATTTCATGATAGCTTCCTGTGCCTATATATCAACTTTACTAAATTTTAATATTTTGGTAAATTTGTTTTGATGTCTTTTTTTTAACATATAGAAAGATATTACTTTGG